ATCACAAACAGAACATTTTGATAAGTTTGGTAGATAATCCTCATAATACTTCACGATTGGTTGCATTAAACAATGAAATTAGGCAGACCACAGTGCTACGTATTCAGAGAAAGGAAAAATATCATCCCTACAAGATGCAACTTTTGCAGGAACTCAATGAAGATAATCCCGACCGCCGCTTACACTTTTGTGAAATTATGATGGATTTACACCGGCAAATAGTTTTTTCAGACGAGGCCACGTTTTGTCTCAATGGTACAGTGAACCGTCAAACTTGCAGGTATTGGAGTCGGGAAAATCCTCATTGGATGGCAGAGACACATACCCAATACCCTCAGAAATTAAATGTGTGGTCTGTAATAGTTGACAACAGAATAGGAACCCTTGCAGGACAAAGATATTTAGAGTTTTTACAAAATGACCTTGTTCCAGCCCTTGCAGTAATTTTTCCTAACGATAACCCTGATATTCCTGATGACACCATATGGTTTCAGCAAGACTGTGCACGAAGATTTTCTGGACAATTGTTTTCCTAGAAGGTGGATCGGCAGACGAGGACCGTTAGAATGGCCCGCGAGATCCCCAGATCTTACACCCCTGGATTGCTGTAAAATACCCTAAAGAGGAAAAATTAAGAGAATTTTTGACCATACCTACTCTCTAAAATACCTTTAAAGGACACTATTCTGAGGGGTTAAGTTTTAGCAGCAGTAAGATGATTACAATTACAGTAATTTTAAATAAAAACGTGTCCTTTTTTCAAATCGATAGGCTAATTCAAGGAATATATCTAATATGTGCATTTAGAGAAAATATTACGTCCGAACAAAATTGAACGCAAAATCAACTTTCAGTTTATGCACCCTGTACATAGTGAGTTACAGTACGTTCCTTTTCCATTAATTTTTCTCTTTTAATTGCCGAGGCAGGTGTGGATATGATTAATCAAAGATTATATCAAAGTTAGAGGTAATCTTATAAACTGTACCTCCATGGTTCTTTCATGGTAGAATTGGAATGCGAATATCATAGGCGTCCGCTCTCTCGGTGACTGCTATAAATATAAATATCTCCACTTCAAAATAATTGGATTTATGGAAATATTCTCGTATTATGTACTACATAAGTAACAGTCATAGAAATATAATCGTTGTGGAATGTTTGCGCTGACTCATTTTGCGATCTAAGATAAAATAGAGTAGATACCTACAAAATGAAATAATTCGGAAAAAATTTCTGCAAAATTGAAATATTTTAAATTGGAAATTCATCCATACATATGGACGTTTCAATTTTGGTTTTCATAAATCAAATAAAGAAATAATCAACTTATTAATCCTTGTTTTTATGCAACTTTAAACAACTTCTAATGCTCCTCAGATAAGAAAAGTGTGTTACAAATGTGTCTTATGTATTGATTTATATAGAATTTTTGAAAACAATGGTGAAAAGTTTCTGTAAATTTGCATTTGTATTAAATTGAAAAATATTAAATTATAATCTTTAAGGAAATATAGATGTTTACTTTTACTTTACTTTATTAAAAAAGTAATAAAAATAAAAAAGTTAAACTTTTGAATTCACTTTTGTAATAGTTATATACAGGGTGTTAAAAAAAAGAGTGTAAAATATTTCAGGAGGTAGCAGAAAAGCCTTAATAAACATGGGTCCGCAAAGTAACGGTTGCGGAGATATGGACCACTATTCGTTTTTCAAACATTTTATTTTATTAGGAATAAACCGACAAAGGAAGCTTTTAACAAACAAAAAACAAAGTTACAGAAGATGTACAAAGTGCCCTCCGTCCATTTCCAAGCAGGCACGACATCCTCGTCTCAACGATATTCGAACTCTTTCGAAAACACCCTGCTTGGTTTGGATTTATTGACACTTTTGATTAATCCGTAGCTGCAGCTCTTCCAGGCTATCTATGTACAGGAGTACCATACACTAATGTCTTCAAATATCCCCAAACAAAGAAATCTAGAGGGTTCAGATCAGGCGATCTTGGAGGCCATAAAACAGGTCCGGCCCTTCCTACCTATCTATGTGGAAAAGTTTGGTGTAAATGCTCTCTAACGGCCATGGAAAAATGAGCTGGAGCACCACATTTGTTGCCTCTGATTCAAAGGAATGTCTTCCAAAAACTCATACAGTGTGTTCTGCAGAAAGTTGAGGTAAGCAGCGCCTGTTAAACGATTTGGTAAAACAACAGGACCTAGAAACCTGTCACCTATAATACCCATCCAAATGTTTAATGAAAAACGTGCCTGATGTCCAGATTCTATTAGAGCATGAGGATTTTCGTCGGCCCAAATATGCGTATTGTGAAAATTAAACACTGCATTTCTTGTGAACCCGGCCTCATCAGTAAAAAGAATGTTTGCAAGAAAACGAGCGTCTTCAGCATCATGACGTAGAAACCAGCGGCAAAAAACCAAACGTGCTTGATGATCATTTATTGGATTTAAGGTCTGTACTCGTTGCACATGGTATGGATAAAGCAGTTGCTCGTGAAGGATTCTCCAAACAAGAGGACCACTAATTCCTACCTCGACTGATATTCTCCGCACACTCGTACCTGGATTCTGCTCTACCAGTGCTAGAATTTCTTCTTCCGCTCTAGGAGAGGATACCGACCTTAGTCTTCCGGATAAATGGCATTGTTTGCTCAAGGAACTGGTATCACGCAATCTTTGGTGAATTCTTCCAAACATGCGTTGTGAAGGAATCTGGCGATTTGGATAAGCGTCAACATAAAGACGTCGCGCTTCGGTGGCGTTCCCATTAGCACGACCATACATGAAATGCATGTCTGTTAATTCTGCGTTAGAGTAACCAGCCATAGCGAAAGAAAACTTGTGCACTGAGAACAACTGCCAAATACGTACTGTTTATTTCACTAAACATCAACCAACTATTATAAGAAAATACACAACGTTTTTGCAAAATAAAAAAAGGGGCTAAAAACATAAAACATTCCATATCTCCGCAACCGTTACTTTGCGGACCCATGTTTATTGAGACTTGTTTGCTTATTTTGGTTCATACTATTACCTACTTAAATATTTTACACTCTTTTTTTAATACCCTGTACAATTTCGTTAAAAACTTCTATTCTATCTATCTAAAAATTTTCAGCCTTACGGTATGAGAGAATTACGAAAATATTCTTAAAGAACCTTTCCTTCAATGTAATAACTTGTCTAGGACATGTTGCCACTTTTCTAAAATAAAAAATTAAACTTAAATTTTACTTTAACTTTCATTTAGAGGCGTGTCATTACCTATGGAAGGATAGAATACTACTTATGAAATTCACGAGAAAGCTTTTGCGTCTTTAATTTCTGTTTTAAAATTTTTGATTAAATTAAATAGATTTAATAAAATTGTCATATCGAAATTAATTTAACATGTATTTATTGATAAAAAATCAATTGCATATTCAAAAGAAAGTATTAAATCAATATTGTCATAAATTTAGTAAAAACCGAAAAAAAGGCAAAGTTTGAACGACCATAACTCAGTCTATTTTTATCGAAAAAACTTTTATAACCCATCATCACTTCCATCACTTTTTTATCCACCATCATGTTGTAGGAAATTTTATATACTTTTTTTTTCTATGAAGTAATGCCTATACCTATCTCTGCTCAGAAAAAGTTATTTGCATAATTTTTTTGTTAAATTGTTTTTAATATATTTTGCAGTAAATAAATTTTTAAAATTTTTTAAATAATCTATTTCGATAGAAAAACTCATTATCTACAAAATTTTTCCTATGCAATACCCTCAAATTTTCCTTAGTTTTCGAGATATACTTAAAAAAACGTAAGGTTTGCATTTTCACCCCTATCTCCAATTTCCACCCTCTAATTTAATAACACTCCGCGGTTTTTTAATTATAAATAACCATGTGAACGATTCGTGCAATAAAAACCCATCAACGTTGTAGTTCCATACCATATGATCAATAGCCTATAAATTTATCAGCGGAAAACATACCCACGCTGTAGTTCCACGGCAATATTGATTATCTGCAGGATCGGTAAATAAACCAAAATATTCTGCAAACTATTAAAATAAATAAAGTACATGTTTACATCATTGTAAAAAAGAGGAATCGTAAAAATGACAAATAGTTAAAAAAATTTAAGTTTCATTTATGAATGTAAGTCTGTTGTTTTTTAAATATTGCTTTAAAATAGTAAAAAGGTTTATTTTCTTTCGTATTTACCATTTTTCCCTAGATTTAAACGTAAAAAAGATAACGGGGGTATAATTTTATATGAATGACCATACGTTCAGTATTTCTATTAAAAGGAATATGCTTTAGCAAACTTAACAAGACAAATACCAGGTTTTTCCTGATTTTAAATCTTCCCTTAGTTTTTTGCTTGAAAAAGAAAAGTTTAAAAAAGTCGGAAGTATAATTTCTTTCGACTTGCTTTTATGAAAACTCTACTTGCGCTCTTAATTGACGTCGTCAAGGAGCTTATCAAACTGCCTTTGCAGTTTCAGAAAGTCTTTTCCCTTTGCGAAGTTAAGCTGGGGAGATTTATGTGAATCATCTTTTACAAAAAGTTTTACTAAAACTGTCAGTTATCAAAAAATCTAGCAAATGTCTCGAGTAGTAACAAATTTGTCGTCTTTTGTCATAAAATTTTTCCTCTTTACAACATTTGACTCCCGTTAATTTAAGATAATGGATTCGTACATAACTAAAGAAATTATTGATAATGCCTATACCATTAACGTAATTTGAAAGGATCCGAAGAACTGCTGACATAAAAAATACCAGAAACGTTAGCTGTCAGCAAAACCAACAATACTTTCTATCCCGCAATACTGTCGAAATACTGGTAGTCACCCAACGACCACTTACACCAGCCTGTACCCTTTCACGATATTTACAGTTAAGATACCTCGGATCGATATTTTAAGACTTGGCCGTTAACCTTTGATCCGTTCCCTTGATTGTGCTTTTCGTTTTGTTTCAGATTGATTAGAGTTTTCCCACAAGAGTATTAAAATTGTGAACTAAGCATTTATCGGGTTAGTGTTCCAGCCGAGTGTTGGAGTCTCCGCGGCGAGCGTGAGTGGTAGTCCTGCTGTACTGAGTGCTGTGGTGCCGCGGTTCCTGTCGCTTCCGCCATTCCACCGGCGCTGGCCCGGCCTTCTCTGCTGCGATCTAAGGTAAATTATGGACTGTTATATCTGTACTTTCTGGTATATTTCATATTTAGTTAGCCGGTGCAGGATAATCCTTATAAAAGGGGATCGACATTTCGCTCTATTTTTAAGCTTTTTTCAGGATAAAAAACTGTACCAATTGCTTCAGAAATTAGAAGAAACGAATACTATAACGAAACATTGCTATTAAAATTAAAATTAAACATCATAATATAAAAACAATATACTTACAGGGTGTTTCATTTCTGATGTGCCAAACGAACACAGATGATAGAGAAAGTAATTTTCAGCAAAAAAGTTCATATCGACATGTGTCCGAAAACGTCCCCATGTGACGTTATGCTCTTTAAAAGGGGTGGCCCCCTTTAAAAACCAAACATTTGTGTATTTCAGTCTAACTTTAATAAAAATATTTTTTTAAATGAACTTGAATGAAAACGGACAAATTAATTTGATATAACACTCTTAGAAACTAAATTTATGAACACTGAACTTTTCGAATGCCAATCATTCATGATATAATAGGTTAAATAAATTTTACCAAAATGGAAATTGAAGATTTTTTAATCTACTTTCTGAAAAAAATTGTATTTTTTAATAGTCAGATGAGGAAAAATAGTGGCATTCGAAAAAATCGAAAAAAATTGAAAAAACCGAGGTTTAAACGTTCCCTGAGAGCAGCCTAATAAATTGCGCGCATTTTCGATATTTTTCCCTAAAAGATAATCCCTTTACCTTTAAAATACCGCTTGCTAAACTTTTTTATCTTTTTTCTATTCATAGTTCTATGATTTTGACACTAAAGTAGTTCCAGTCGTTCATAGTGCGCCACAGGGGAGCGTTTTCAGTAGTGCTGGCAAAAACCGGAAAAAAGTGAAACCGGTTAACCGGGTTCCGTAAAAACTGATTTCAGATAAAACCGGTTAGTCGAATAGTAGCTAAAACCGGTTATTCGAATAACCCGTTACTTGAATCGCCAAAACCGAATACCGTGCTTTACAAAGACAGACCCGGAGAAATTGTCTAAAAAAAGTCATTACAAAAATCTGGAATAACCGGTTTTCGGATATTTGAAGAATGGAATAACCGAATAACCGGTTTTCGGATTTCATAAAAATCCGAATTATCCGAAACTGGTTAACCGACTATCCAAAAAACCGATTTCAGTTGCCAGCACTAGTTTTCAGACACATGTCGATATGAAAATTACTTTCTCTACATCTGTGTTCGGAAATGTACTTATATATTGCTAAAAATTTATTTTGTAAACACTATTATTAGCTCAGAATCCATGGTTCAGAAACGGCGTTTCCAGGAAAAAAATGTAGGTTTTTTCTCACCGGTTCTATATGTTTTTTGGGGTGCTGAATCCGAATCTGAGGTTTGTCGGGTTCACAAGGAAAATTGCAAAAAACCTCAAATTTTCGGCACTTTTTTCAACTTTTTAACTATAACTCGAAAACTAAGCGTTTTTTTGATTATAACTATGATATACCAAATCAAAGTAAATTTCGTACAAATACGTATAATAACTCTAAATTCTGGAAAACTTTTACATTTTTTTATGGGAAAAAACCTTTGCTGACTGTATTATAAACTAGTGGAAAAAATGTTTTTTCATTTTTTTTACAGATTATGAGCATTTAAAGGCAAAAAACGTGATCCTTTAATTTTTTAAAAAATTCAATAGATTGAAACAAAAAAACGGCTTGATGGATCGAATTGAAACTCTGTAGGGCTTTTAGAGGTACAATGACCTGTAAAAGGCTCACTTAATATTAGTCATTTTCCCAATATTCTCAATGTGGCACGTGATTTTCTAGAAGACCCCTAAAAGTCCTATTTTTTACGATTTATAATATATTTATAACAAAGAGAAAGTGATCCATTTTCATTCAAAGTCCGATAGCTCAGCGAGAAATGGTCGTATCGAGACCAAAAAAGAAAGAAATTGAAGCTAAATGAACAACCTATATAATCCATAAGGTGGTTTTAAGTTGGAAAAATTTTTTTCAAGGCCGTACACCAAAAATAAGATCGAAAAAAATTTCGAAAAATTTTTTTTCATAATATTTATTAAGATTGCGCGATACGTGTTACTTGAATAAATATTTTTTTGCAAGATCCAATAATTAGAAACTTCAAGCTTCAAATTGATTTTTTTTTACTCCAATACGACCATTTTTATCAAAGATACCATTTGAAAAATCGCCGTAAATATAGATTTTTTTTTGATCCCTTAATTTTTTCCACTAGTTTATATCAATTTTATTCAAATAATAATGAAAAAAGCACCTATAACTAAAATAAACAACCCAAGTAAAGTGATTAGTGTTTGTTTTTTTGTTATTATTTCAATTTGACATGGGTCAATTGTCTCAAAGAATGAATTTTTGCTAATGTATTATTTTTACAGTATTATGGTTTATATTTCTAATTTTAATTGTAATATTTCATCGTTGTATTGGTTTGTATTATCTTGTAATGTAATTGTTTTCTCGTCCTTCAAAAATAAACCTCAATTTAACTTATTTTTTAAATAATTTATACTAATAAAACAATAACACAGCCACACAAAAAAAATTCTCAGAAACTAAAACTACCATACTTTATGTATTTTAACCTAAATTTTATTTTATCCTGCCATTTTTTTTTAAATTTCGATTTTATGCTAAAAATAAGCGGAGAAATGGCATAAAATCGAAGATTTAAAAAAAAATTACAGAATAAGATGAAATTTGGCTCACAGAATTCAATTCAGGAGGTCAAAATAGTCCAATTAACTAAGCCTTTAAATCGAAATTTTGTCAACTTGGCTGAATTTTTGATATGAGTTAGTTTAAGGTATATTATAACAATAAGTGAGAGTCATTTTTTGTTCAACCCCCGGCCAAGGGTGGAAAAAGATAAAACAAAGGGCTTTTTCAAGATAACTCAAAAAGGGTAAGAGCTAGAAAAAAATGCATGAAAGTTGTAAAGCAGACAATTCTACATAAAAATGGTCTCTTAGCTTTTTCTTGTACTATTAAAATTAACAGAGTTAGGGAGGCTAGAAGTTAAGGGAAGATTTCAGAAATTTAATTTTGTTAAATCATTAAAATTAACGATTAAAAATTTGATTTTTTGTTATAACTTTCTTATTAAAAATTAAAAAATATATCTATTTCTCTGAAAAGAAAAGTTACATATTTTAGAGCAGATTGAAAAAAAAAAAATTACAAAATTCAATCATTTTTCTGTTTGTTATGATTTTTTTTAAATTTCTGAAATCTTCCCTTAACTTCTAGCCTCCCTAACTCTGTTAATTGTAATAGTACAAGAAAAAGTTAAGAGGCCATTTTTATGTAGAATTGTCTGCTTTACAACTTTCATGAAAAACTTTTTTTTCTAGCTCTTACTCTAGCTCTAGCTCTAGAGTTATCTTGAAAAAGCCCTTTGTTTTATCTTTTACCACCCTTGGCCGGGGGTTGAACAAAAAATTACTCTCACTTATTGTTATAATATACCTTAAACTAACTCATATCAAAAATTCAGCCAAGTTGGCAAAATTTCGATTTAAAGGCTTAGTTAATTGGACTAAAAATACATAAAGTATGGTAGTTTTAGTTTCTGGGTCAGGACGTTTTTCTACAGTGTGTCCCCGGATGAACTAAACTGTACTTGTAATTTTCTTTATTTCGCATTTTCCATAAAAAGTGTAGCTTATCGTGAAGAGTCATTAGCCATACTCAGACTTTCAAAATAAGATACAGGGTGGTTAGCAAATAAGGAAACGTGAATTTGTGTCACGAGTAAAGTATTAGTTCTTTGAGAGTAATTTAAAAATGTAACTGAAAGAAGTCGTTTCTAATGTTAATAGTAGTCCAGATATGAAATTTGAACGTCGTATATCAAAGTTGATATTTTTGCAAAAATTATGATTAAAATAATTTTATAAATTCAACGAAAGCGCATAATTTATTGAATAATAACAAAATTATTTCCATTTCTAATCTGTTTAGTTAAATGTTACGGTATAGGTGAAATATCGTACAAATATGCAATTGAACTTTTCAATAGAAAATATCCCGAGGTGTAGCAGCAATTTCAATTTAATGTTGCTATGTAGAAACTAGAAAAATAGCTATAATTTGCCGAATGTAACATGTTTTAAATAAAATTGTTCACTCACGAAAAAAATAAAATAATAAAAAAAAATTTTCATCTGTTGTTGACACTATTATAACCAATTTTTTTAACAAGACAACCTTTCAGGAAAAGATAGGTAAGAATCTAAAATAACCCTTAAACATTTTACTTTTTTAACTAACTTTTTAATTATCATGTGTCACATATCACATGGCGGCCATACAGTTTTTTGCGAAATATGTAAGTACTAAAATGTATTTTTCATAATTCCACTATTTCGTGAAATAATTAAATGCGTCAAGTAGGTATTTACCGTTATTCAAGCTAAATTAGGAATTATTATCCTTCCATGGCATACTTAATTTCGCCAGGAAACATTTGAAGTATATGAAGTACCTGTAATTTACTAACTAAATTGTGCTTTTAAAATTTCAAAGGAAATTTAGTGGAGATTTCAACAATCGAAAACGTATAAAAATTATAGATACGTTTGGATATAGCTCGGAAACTGAAAGTAAAAAAAGTATTGTCATTATTGTAACAGTCTGTTATTTTGTAATGCCGTAGGACTTTATAATTATTCATAACACCCTAGGCTAAATTAAAAACTGATTAACATGGAAATAAAGCAATTCAATAAAAGAAGTTACAAGTAACAAATGCAAACAATTGTTATATGAACTAAATGCAATAAAGTGTTCGCGTTCAATACAGAGAAGTAAGGATACTGGTCTATAAAAATTATTATCCATAAAATACGTTAGCTACCTAATTACTATTAATAGAAAAGTGAATAAAATCTTTTTATAAAAATCTCAACAACTGTGATAATATTGGATATTACAAAAAACCTTGAATGAACACCATGTGTCAAT